GTAAGTTTAATATATATATATATATTTCATATCATTATGCCGAATGAAAATTGAATTCTAATTCTCTAGGATGTAATAGATCCCACCATGAACCCGACAAAAGAACGCTCACCCAAAGTCCAATATAAATAAGAGGCATGTTATATATTTATATTATATATATGTATATATAATATTTGATATATGTAAATATAGAAGGATGTAGTTTGGTAGTCCGAACCCATGAGTTCACGAATCTACCTCCCACACCATCAAGTTATCTTGTTGGGACAGGTAAATTATTGTTTAGTCTTGCAGTTGACCTCCTTTATCATTTTAGTATTTAAGTAGATCATATATGAAAATAAACCTACAAGTAAATAGTTCTTCGGTGCTGGATTTTCCACCATATCTCTCCCGCGCTAACGTGAATGAAATATCAGCGCTACATCGATGCAATGTTAGCAATACTTGAGTTTTTTTTTTTTTTTTTTGTTTATTTAAAATCAAATTTTTTACTTTGGTCAAAATTAGACCAAATTATATAAAAAAAAAAAAAAAATTACAGTTTATCATTTTTTTTAAAAAAATAATAATAATAAATTCGTTGATAAATTTTGCAATTTACTAATCAAAATTATAATATATATATATATATATATAAATTGACTGAAAAAATTGTAACTATATGTATATATATTTATGACGAATATTGGATTTTGTGAAAGTATAAATTTTTTGAGTAGAAATATTAAAAAAAAAAATCAAAAAACATTTTTGATTGAATTTTTTTTGATAAAAAATACAATTTATCAGTCAAAATTATTTTATAGTTGTTAGCTGATTCGATTAGCTGGTTTGATTAGTGGACAGTGGTTAGCTATTTGTATTAAAGTATTTAGTAAAATAGCAGTTTGATACAAGCTGTTTATACATAAATGACAATTAAAGATATTTTGTATTATATTTTTAAAATATTTAATTGTGTTTTTCGTTGTATAGGATTTTTTAGAATTTTTATTATTACTTATTGAAAATTATGAAAATTTTATTAAAATATTTGTTTTTTTTTTAAAAAAATATTTATAGAAAAATTGTATATAGATTTTTTTATTAGATTACTTTTAATTAATTTTTTATTATTTATAATTTTAAATAAATTTATTCTAATATATTTATTAGTAATAAAAAATATTATGTAACAAACAATATATAGTATATATAAATAAATTAATAATAATTTTAATTATATCAATTTTATAAAATTAAATTTAAAAGTTTACTAAAAATATATATTAACATAATTAAAAAATACTACAATGGAAATATATTAATACGTGTAAAATGAATAATTTATTTTTAAAGTAAAATAAGAAATAAAATAAGTTAAAGTTAACGGCTATTCCGTCGTTGGGATATGACTTTTGTAAAAATTAACTTTTTGAGGTCAATAAGTTATTTCAAACTATTTTAAAAAACTAATTTACAAACACTTAAATTAGCCAAAAGCTGTTAAATAAATTAAATCAAACACCCCCCAAATCAAAATATATTTAAGAAAATATAAATAATTTAATTAACTACGTAACTTATAACATCAATAACTTACTCAAAACTTTTTTATTTTTAATTCTCTTTTTTTAAAAAAATACAATAATAACTTTTATTTTTTGTAAAATTAGTTTATGTTAATTATAACTAAATAAAAGTATGTTTTTTATTTACTTGTATTATAAAAAAAATATAATATTCATATTGAATATATTTTTTATTGCAATATAATTTTTAAAATATTTAAATACATATTCTAATCTTTTTAAAACATAGATATTAAATTTATTTTAAAATTATCAATATTATTAATTATATAAAAATAATAAAATAATATCATAATTTACTGTCATTAATTAATTCAAACGTTTTCCTTAAATAAATTATTGGGATGGAAGGAATAATTTTTTTAAAGAAAAAATGACTGACTTTTTTGGAAGGAATTATTTGTTAGTATGGCAATTTAAAGTAAGATTTGAGAATTTTTGCAATTTATATATGATTTTTTTTACTTCTTGTTTTAGGTTCCAATTATAATGTCGTGTTGTTCTATTTTGGATTTTTTCATGTTCGAAAGGATTTGCTGATCTTGTGCTAAATTAGATGTTGTGGATTTGGTCTTAACACTACAAGAAAAAATTATTTTTATAACAAAATTCTTTTGTCTCTAAATCTATTTTTTCCGTTACTAATGACATTGAATGAATTTACGTTAGCTACGTGAAATTTAGGGGATTGGATTTTGGAATTGGATTTTTGAGGATTTTAAAGTATAGATTTGTAAGTTGTGTTTGTTTGGGGGATTGAATTTTTGTAATGATTATGTTGGAAGAAATTATTATTTTATTGAGAGAGATGATATGTTGATGTGATAGTTTGAATTAAATAGTATTTATATATAATTGAAAAATAATTCTGAAACAGTTGAGATGAAAATTTGATGTAATGTTTAAAAAAATATAAATATTTTATATTATTAAAGTTGTGTATATATTGCCTCACTGTACCACCTACCAGCCTGTATCTTCAATCACGTGGTGAATCGTTGCTGGCGAATGAACTTGACGGATTGCAGAGAATCTCGACAGGCTATCTTCGGCCTACCCTGTAGATTTTAGTTTTTAAATTTGTACAATAGACATTAAGTCGAGTCCACCAACCGAACAAACTAGTGTGCGACAGTAATACAATTGAATTAATTGTCGTTTGTTTCTACACAACGAGCTTTTTGTGTTTTTCTTTCGTTGGTGATTATAGACATGCTTTCAATTATAGATATATGTATTTTTTTTATTTTTTTTGTTAGCACTACATCGCCAACACTGGAAGACCACATTCCTCGTTCTCTTCGAGCATCTTTTTATTTCATGTATTTGTTTACAAAATTATTTCCCACTCATGTTACATATTACTTAGCTCATTCGGAGGCGTTGCTTAATTCAAGAATCAATATGACATTATATATTGCATTTTGAAGAATCCTTTGAAGAACATTGTTGTCTTCTATAAAAAAAATAAAAATAAAAAATAAAAAAATGCATACACATGGAAGGAAGCCCTGCACATATTGAAAAAGTTAATAATAGCAGCAGCTGGTAAATACAAAAGAAAAGCAAAGCAAAGAAAATAGAAATTTTAAAACGTTTACTAAGCAATCTTGAAGGAAAACACAATTGGAAGGCCAAATGCATTCTTTGGTAGTTTAATACTAAGCTCTTCTTGAAGCTCCTTCTTGTAAAAATCAGTAACTTTTTTTCCAGACCTAAGACCATCTTCAACGCAACCTCATTTTTTTAGGTTGCAGCTCAATATTTGGAGTTTTACGTCTCCAACTCAACTGCATATTCAACACCATTTTTTGTGGGTATTGCACTGTAGCAACTTCAATTTTGGCGATTTTTACTTCTTTTTTTTTTAATTTTTTTAATTTTTACAAATTGTAAATTAGTCTCTATAAGAATTAATCTGTAATTTTTTATACTTTAATTGTATATATATTTTTTTAATATGAAAAATTGTTTAAAATAATATATAAAATAGAATATTTAGAGAATATTCTTTTTTGGAATTGAAAATATAGTTGAAGATTGGAGTTATTACCGTAGCAACTGCATTTTTAGAGTTATAACTGCATAAATGAAATTGTCCGATTTGAGATGACCTAAGCAATCTTACACGACAAAGTCATCAAGTGCATCGAGATTGAGCTTATACAAACCAAGCACCAAAACTCTATAACAAACAATAGGGACCGAAGAATAAATCACAAGACAAACACATTTCAACCTAAAAACACACGGCTCAAAAGAAAAAAAATATATATATATTGTGACGGTCCAGGCCCGAGAAGATGTTATATCGAAGATTTAGAAAGGAAAAAAAAAAAAAAACCAATCTACAATTCCACCTAGGGGTGTCAATTCGGCCGGTCCGATTTTTTTCGTGCCAGCCCAAACCGACCTAAGAGCACAACCCAGTTTGAAATTGGGCCGTGCCGTGCCGTGCCAGTCTGCTTTTTTTTTTTAAAAAAAAAAAATTAGGGTGTGTTTCTTTACAGGGGTTTGGGGAAATTTAAGTTTGAGTTTAGTTTTTATTTTAATTTTGGGAAGGGTTTGAATTTTTATATTTCTTTTGTGTTTAAGTTTGGTTGAGGATAAGGAAGTTTTTATGTGTATTGATTTGATGGATAATTAATAAAATAATATAAATATGTATTAAATTTAATTGATAAAATTTATATGGTATAATTTATTATAAATTTATATTATACTCAATATATATATTTATTTATTTTTATTTTAGAAAATTTTGTTCTCTATACAAAATGACATATATATTGTATATTTTTTTATCCTATAATTATTATAAATATTAAATAAATATAATATTTGAAAAAAAATATATTAAAAAATGTATATATATACTCCCTCCGTCCGGGATATTTTGTCCGACTGTAGACACTAAAATTTAGGAGGGGTATAATTAGTAAATAATTAGAAATGTATTAGTAAAAATAATTATCATATAATAAAAATAATTATAGATTAAGATTAACATAACTTAATAATATAATTAAAATTAAAAAAATTATAAATTAAAATTTTAAAATAAGATTAAAGTGAAAGTGACAAAATAAGTAGAACAGACTGGAATAAAAAGATGGACATGAGAATTAGGACGGAGAAAGTATATTACAGTTTTTGCTGCAAGCTGCAAACTGTTTATACACAGTATTTTTGCCCAAATCGAACTTGCAGAAACAGACCCTTAATCATTTTATTTATTATTTTAGTTTTAAATTAATTTTCAACAAAATATATTTTAACAGTAAAAGTAGGGAATTAAATCTACAATCAAACATATCAAGTCATGTTGTAATTTTTGTCTTTGCTCAAAACTTAATATATATATATATATATATAAATTTTTTTAAAATTAAATATTAATTTTAAAAATCAGGCAGATGGCCAAATGAATATGCCCTTTTAGCCAACAAAACAGAAATACAGTGTGTCTGTCTGTCTGTGGTATAAAACAACATTACAAGTGATGTATCTTTCAAATGAACCAACATTCGTTCTTAAACAACAACAACAACAAGGCAAAAAAAAGTCTGTATATAAATATATATATATATATATATATCTCATCAATCATGCATGTCATCAATTTCTTGGCCACAATATCCACTTCAGTTGAAGAATCATTCATTCAAATTTAGGAGTATTTACTTATAAATACTTGGTGAGCCAAGGCACGTCATTGCTGCTGCTGCTGCTTTCCTTGAGAGCAAAACTGACATCATCACTGCCCACCAACACCAAATGTGAAACAATCAATCAATTTGCATTCATCTCATCACATCTGTAATAACTAAATAATAATAATGGTGCCAACAGAGAACACACTTACCTGGGATAGTTGAGCTGCAATTTCTGCAATTTGTGCCTTGATCCATCCTCACACAGTAATATTCTGCATTCCCCAAGTTTGCACCTGACACACACACACCCCATTTCAACAAAAAAATGGAAACCAAACTTCAGTTGAGAACATAATACTCTGTCCGGAAGATCAAATTATGTAAGTTTGATTGGACACGGCAACTAAAAAGTAATAATATTTTAATATTAAAGTGAGTTAGTAAAAAGTAAAGTCGAAGATATTATAGAAAATTTATTAAATAGCTACAAAAAAGTAACGGGGTAAATGATAAAAAAGTCGCAAATAGATTCTTATTTGTTAAAACAAGATTAATCAAATCGTGAGTGCATAAAAGTTGTTTACTGGATTGTGCATACAGACAACCAAAAAAAAGAATAGTTACATAATTTTTGAAAATATTTGGAATATATATTATATTTATGATAATTGTCTATTATAAATATGTAGATGTATTTATGATTGAAAAAGAGAAATTTAGTAAGATTAGTTAGCAAGAACTTTGTAGGGCTGATATCGGATCAAATAAATTCTATAAATGAAAGATAGGTGTGCTGGCTTACCCTACTTTCAGCAGTGCATCATAACCTGGAAACACTTCTCCATTGCTGGAGCAAAAGGATGAGACTGTGGTTGCCACCTGCATGGATGGAACTTAATCATATAGCTAAACTTCAATATGCAATAAAGATAATTAAAAATAAATACAAAATAAAAATGAAATAGAATTGACAAACAGAATCGCTTGGTTCACCACTATTTTCATGACAAAAAGAGAATAAATTTTATCAGGATTTCACAGTATGAACACGATCGAAATCATAATGGGTATTTATAATAACTCAAATCAGGCAACAAACGTCGAAACATCAATCCAAGGCATCCCAACACACGTGATTCCTCGGATTAAAATCAGGTTGTATTAATGGTGTGGTACTAGACATAAAGACTTTGGAGAAATAGAAAGTATAGTAGTTGCTGGGACAACATCAAGAAAACATAAAGGGCCTAATGGAGATACCTTTTCAAAATTCGTTTCGCCCATTCCGGTTTTATAAAGTTCGTGCACCATAGCAGCTAGGAAGATCTTGCTCAGTTTAGAAGAGCTCCTAATCACCTAAGATCAAACAACAAAACAAACAGCATTTGCATATTATCAGTGGGATTCTGTAATATAATCGAAGAAATCTAGTCTTATTTTTGTTCTAGCCTACTTGGATATGAGGAGCTTGGAACATCTCTTTTATAGCAGCCTCGACATCTCCCACGCCAACAACTTTCCCTGCAAAACGAATGGAACATAAACATTGATCACTTGCATTGCACAACGTCAAAATCACATAAAAAATACTGCGACATGGAGATAAAATGGAGAAAAGACAGTAGTAACTGATTGTGGGATCAAATTTAGACATTTTACAATGTCTTACCTGATGCACCAGAGCCAGATTGCGACAAAGCTTTATCGCGATAATCTGCAAGCTCTGCAGCTCGTCTACAGATTTCCAAAGCACGACGAGCATCTCCAGAGACAGCTGCTACCTAAAGTCCAAAAAATTCCAGTGAGTAATATAAAACCTCCCACACATTCATCGAAGGCAATCAGCCATTACTCGATTTCAGACTCGCAAAAAGATGCAATCAGAGTAATTGAAAACTGAGTAGAGATCGAGCAAACCTTCCTCGATGCAAACTCAATTGCAAGTTTTTCAAAAACATCGACTCCTTTCAGGCGGCTGGAGATTATTTCTTGAAGCTGCTGATAGTTGTATGGGCCAAAACAAAGCCTCTGTATGCCCATTCGACTAGAAATTCGCGGCAGCAACTTCTCAGGAAGATCCATAGTGTTTGCAATCCCTGCAATAACAGTGCAAATTATCGATATAAAAGAAAGGGAATGATAAAAACAAATTTAGGAGCAGCAAAAATTTCTTACCTATCACAACTAGTCTCGAATTTGGCTTGTTAGGCCAGTCCAGAATATTGTACAAAACCTGTACAAGAAATTTTGCACATTCACACTTTGAATATTATCTAATAACAATCCATTGTATGTTTAGTTTTGTGGTAACATACTGATTGATTTCTCGTCACAAGAAGATCAAGTTCGTCTATTAGAAGAATGCAAGGCCTTGCATCATTGCTGCGTTTATTTTCGTCTGAAAACCGCTCATTCAAAAGATGAAGCGCCTTTTTCCACCCAACTCTGTGTCCACTTAATCCCTCGTATATCACCTGGAAAACGGTTTAGGTTTACCTCAACAAGGCGTACGAAAGAAAATGGTTGCTGCAAATCAGAACAAAAAGTAATACTTACACTGTATATATTTTCTGGTGAAGCGAGTTTGAGGCCATTAATTTCTACGAAACAATAAGGCTTTATGCTTCCGGCATCAACCTCCGACTTTACACTCCTCATCACAGCAAGCACACTCATTGTCTGCAGATAGAAAAGAAGAGTCAGAATAATGAACAGCAGGGTGTAGTAATTTGTGTTACTCAGTCGAATAGGCATTTCCTGTACCTTTCCAGTTCCGGGAACACCGTGAACATAGAGGCATCTTCCGAGACATTGCTCGTCACATATGGCACCTTTGATAAATGAGGTTATCTCGTGCATCTCCCTGAAAAGTGTTTAAGAAAAACCGTGAGATATATATTATATGTGTATATATAACATTCAAATATATGCGATTTAAATTGTTTAACATTTCATACTTGTCCCTGCAAGGAAGAGACTTGGGCAATGTTGCAAGCAGTAATGTTGCTTTTGCCTTTTCAAGATCAGTCTGCTTGTGGCATCGGACATGCTCGGGTACTTTTTTCGCACCAATCTTTTGCAGCCCAAATATTCTTCCCTTTCTCGAGTTCTGAATAATTCATTCATAAACCAAAAATGATTCATCTCATCTTGTATAACTATAGCTAGCAAATGAAGTCTTAGTCTTTACATAATTAAAATAATGTATCGTACCGCAGCTAGAGGGCGAGCAGAAGATGCTGAGATGCACATTTCTTCATCCTCGAAGTCCACTTCTTCTTCTTCAGAATCCTCAGACATTTCACCAGAACTCCAATCTTCATCACCATTATTACAATTATTAGCTTCCTCAGCATCCTGCCAAGTACAATAATGAAAATGAATAAATATGAACCCAATTTGGTTGAAAATCAAATCAAATCAAATCAAATCAATGTAAGCTGCGCCGTGCTTACATCTTCATTGTCTATCTCAGCGATGCGCTTAAAATTGTGCCATTTTACGTCATACTCATATTCACAAAGAAACACATCATCTCCTTCATTGCTAGCATTCGAGTATTCTTTTGGGCTCATCACATAGCAATGCCTAATGATTGTTTCCATCTGCAAAGCAAGCGCAATGTCGACTAAAATCAACCAAACTTCCAACGAAACTACCAACATCTCATAACTGCAGCAATTTAGCATTCTAATTTAAAGATCATAACATAGAGAAGAACCAAGAACAAAATGCAATTATCACAGCATATCACAGCACCTGAACATCGGCAAAATCGTTAGTCCGATAGAGCTCCCTCCTCAAATTATGAGGCTGTCGCCCCGCAGCAGTCTCCTCCGGAATAATGTACCACCGAGCTCTGAACCAATAAGTGCCATCCACTTCTTTCCACAAACTACAAATCCATATAGAAAATTGTAATACAAACAAACATCATCGAAACTATTGAAATTCAAGACGGGAAAAAAGAACCCTAAGGAAATGAATTCTACAAACCTACCTCTCAATACGAGCAGCCCATAAATCACTGGAAAGCAACCTCTCCCTAGCAGTCCGAGCCCTCTTTTTCCCCTTGGGAGGTTCTGGAAATTCAACAATGTTGCCTGATTTTCTTCCTTCGCAATAACTACAAATCCAATCCCCTTCGGGAACCTCCTTCAATGGCGGCTTCAAACAATTCAAATGAAATCCGTTCAAACAGTCATCGCATTCAATCATAATCCGCTTCCCAGCAGCGGGCTTGAAGCACAAACGGCATTCCTCCTCCATCGGATCCTCATCGTCAGAGGTAGCGTCGTCCCTCCTCTTCAAGTAAACATCATCTCCCGCCGAAAACTGTACGCCGTCGAACACCACTTTTTTGTAATAGACCTTCTTCTTTGTTCTACTCTTAAATACCCTTTTCGCTGCACTTGCCGCCTGTTTCTCCTTAAATATTAACTTCCTTCTCGACTCGGTCGGCTGTGGGGATACGGGGGTTATAGGGAGTGACTGCTTCCTGCAGTTTGTCCGAGATTTGAATGTCGAAGATGGGGATTTTCGCCCTTTATGTGGTTTAGGTGTGGCCGTTGCGAGGCGGAGGGATCTGCGGACGGTGCCGCCGATTTGTGGGGTCTGGGGCACAATCGTGTGGTCTTCTGGGGAAGAAATCGGTAAGGGAGTTCCATTAGGCGACGGCTTCGATTTCTTCCTTCTTGGTGTGTCGGCCATTGTTGTTGAGATCGGCGGCGGCGGCGGCGATTGTTTGGGAGGAGGGAGCTCTGAATCAAGAGCGGGAAAAGAGTTTATATTGCTCGAATCGGTTTCGAACCGGCGGTTCCGGTTTCATCGAACCGAAAACTAAATCGGTTTTTCCACGGTTCGGTTTCGGTTTATCTTTACTCCGAACCATAGACCGCCGGGTGAAGAAGAAGAAAGAAAAGGGAAGAAATGGAGAGGAAGAAAGGAAAGAATTGGAGAATGAAAAAGGAGATATTGGAAGAACCGGTGCGGAGGCGGCGGCGGGGGCTGTGGATGTGTAATGGAATTGATGAGTAGGGCAAAAACATTACTCCCTCCGCGTGGAAATTATAATCTTGAGTAGGGCAAAAACATTACTCCCTCCGCGTGGAAATTATAATCTTAGTTGCGTTTGGCACGAGATTTAAGGAATATTGATATTATATTGATAGGGAATAAAAAGTACATGTAAAAAACTAAAAAGTAATAGCAATTGTGTAATAATAATAAAATAATAAGGGTAATTTTATAGTGATATAGTTATTTATGAAAATAAGACTATTGTTTTGGGATGGACAAAAATAGTAAATAAAACTATTGTATTAAGACGGAATGAGTATTATTTTTTATATATATAAAATTAAAATAATATTAATATTATTAAAAATAAATATTTATTAATCACATATATTTTAAATTTTATAGTTTTTATTTCTTTGGTAGGATTTATTAACTTTTTAATTAATTTATATATATAATAATATATACCATAGTATAGTCAATTCAAATTTTTTCATTTATATTTTTTCAATAAATAAATATTTTAATTTATATTTAAAATTTTTTATTTTTTTATAAAATTAATTTATATTATATTTTCTCCGTTCACTTATAAAATTTATATATTTTTATTTTGACTTCATTACATAATATTTTTATTTTTACATTTATTTACATAAATATCATTAGATTTTATTTATAAATATAATTTTAAATAAACACAATTGTTGAAATTAAAACACAATTATTAAAACAAAACACAATTATTAAAACAAAACACAACAATTAAAAATAAAACATAATTTTAAAATATAAACAAACTCTTTTGGTGTTCATTATCATCATCCATTCTTCTGGCACTCAGATTTTCTCACATATATTTATTTTCGTCGTTTTCTCTAGATCTTGCATCCGCCAACATCGTCTACCACCGGTATGGTGCAAAATTGTTTAAATCACGATAGATCGGAGGATTTATTGAGGGTCTTCCTCCCGCCTTGCCCGTCGCGGTAGAAGCCCTATTCCAATTTTTCGGTTTTCAAATTATAGTAGGTTATGATTTGTTATTATTTATTATGTAGTATTGGTGTTTAATATTTTAAAAATTAAATTAATAAATATGATTAAAAAATTTAGATACTCTCTCTGTCCACCACCTTTAAGAGTTACATTTATCTTTTTAAATACTCTCTTTATATTTGTATAATTTTTTTTACAAATATTGTTGAAATTTGGCCCAAAACTCAATCTGCAACCCAAAGCCCTATAACCGGAACCCAACCGGTTTGGCCCACACCGAGTTAAAACCTCTTTCTTCCTCTCATCTCCCAGTTAGTTCTTCTCTCTGGGGTTTTCTGTTATCTGAAATCCATCCGTTTTTATTTTTTACTTTTCGGTAAGTTCGTTCTTTTGCGTGTTTTTAGTACTTGAGAAGTTAAAATCGGTGTGTCGATTAGTTGATTTAAGGTTTCGATAGATAGAACTTCGTTGGTTTGCAATTTTGTTGGAGGCGATTGGGTTAATCCCTAAATTAGTCAATTCACAAACTAGAGAGGTTGTAGACTAAGTCATCCAAAAGTTTCCCTAATCATTGTTGTCGAATCGGAACTGTTTCGCTGCCGGAGATTGAAGTTGTTGTTGTGTGCTGCAGCTTGTTTTCGCTGCTGCCGTCGACGCTGCTTGTTGGTGGATTTTCAAAGCTGTTCGGAGATCGAGTCGAGTCTTAGTTGAATTGAGGAATTGAGGGTCAATTGCCTTGTTCTACAAATTGTATCTGGTGTCTGTTGATCAATCCAGAAAGAAGTTGTTGCTTGCTTAATTTAATTCTCAATCCATTTAATATCTTGAGTTTTACTTTGATTTTAATCTTAAACACAAACTAGGTGATGTTGTTTGTTGTTTGATAGATTATTAAAAATTCAACAACATTAATGAAAGTATTTTTGTAATTTCTTCTTAATTTATATTATATTTTGATATAATAATTAATATTAAAATATCAATACCTTAGAGCCAAACGGATGTAATATATATTTAAATATTATTATTTTAATAAATATATAAAAAATGAATATAATATAGATGTCAAAATTTAATTATTGTTGATTTATTTAATAAATTTAATAAACATTTGTATCTATAAATAGTAAATTTAAATTTGATAAAAACATATTGAATATTGTTATAATTTATAGAATAAATTTTTTTATGAATTATAAAAATATTATAAAATTTAAATATAATAATATACTCCTCCGCCACACACAAAATATATATTTACTTTTGGTGTGGTGTTTAAGAAATAATAGTATTTTAATTATAGTGGGTGGTTAAAAGTAGTGCAATAACATTTTTGTCTTTGTTTTTTTATATAAGGCTATCTCCAACCCTCCACTCTATTTTTGCAGTTTGCTACAGTAGAAATGCAGTTGATCTACAGTAATTTTACTCCAACCATAAAGTTCAATTTTTATTTAAAAAATATATTCACTATATATTTCTCTTTTATATTATTTTATATAACTTTTTATATTTATAATTACACCCCAACTTTAATTTATTTTTATATTAGATCCATACACATATAATTTATATTACTTTTCAACGGTAAAATTATATATCAATTTAGAAAATAAAATTATACATTATTTTTTAAGAAAATAAAATTATATTACTTTCCAAAAACTAAAATTATATTACTTTTAAAAAAATAAAATTGTACATTATTTTTCAAAAAAAAATAAAATTACATACAACTTTTTAAAATATAAAATTATATATCATCTACTAAAAAAATAAAATTACACAATACACACAAAAAATACACCACAAAAACTCCATTCCAAAATGGAGTGGAGTAACAGTGTTACTCCAAAATGGAGTAACACTGATCTGCAAAAATGGGGTGATGTGATGTAAAGTAAGGGTATTTGTAGAAAAAAGTGAGGTATTTAATTAAATGTTTACTTTGTATTTGGACGTCCTAAAATAGAAACATGTATATTTTCTAGCTGAACGGAGAGAGTATTTAATATTAATTAACAAAATAATTTATACATATAATATATATTATATGCATATACCATGTCTCCCATTTAAAATACTCTCAGTGTCCCGTAACAATATATCTATTTTTTCATTTTAGTTAGTCTCGTAACAAAATATTCATTTTTTTTTAGTAACTGTACTATATACCTAATATTATAAATACTCTTACAACTTACAATATACTATCTCCGTCGCTAAACAATCTATCTATTTTTCTATTTTAGTCTGTATCATAATAAAGTATCTATTTTCGTTTTTAGTAATTATACAATTTACCTAACATTACAAATATTCTTTCAATATACAATATATTATACAAATGTCATTATCTTTATATTATACAATACTAATAGGGTTAATTTAGTCTTTTTTACCTTTATTTCTAATTTATCTTAGTATAATACTAATATTTCTAAAACTCCGTGCAAAAAGCAAATGGATATATAGATATGGGACGGAGGGAGTATTACGTAAATGTCATTATATTTATATGACACAGTACTAATAAAATTATTTTAATTATTTCTATTTTATTCCTATTATATCTCAATATAATACTAATATTTTTAAAATTTTCTAAAAAGAAATCAATGAATATATAGTTATATAGGCCGGAGGGAGTAAATGGGATACATAACAAAAAAAAAAAAAAACCAAAGATGCATGGGAGGTGTATCTTTTATTTATTTATTTATTTTAATGATGAACCGCTCATTGCAGGTGCTCTTATATCCCACAACTGTTTGATTCTTAAATCTTTGCTGCAATCAATTTTATTTATTTATTTATTTATTTAAAAAAAGATAAGGCACTGAGTCTTTCGTGATTGGAAAAATATGTACTTCGTGCTAAAAGTTGATGATATAGTTGTGTTTTTCATCCATTTTTTCCTTTTATATTATTCCCATCATCCTATTTAAATTGTTCATTTTAGCTTACCTACGAAATTTTAGGTATTAAATAATTAGTTAGTAATTAAAAAGTGTATTAGTAAAAATAATTATAATTTAATAAAAATAATTAGATTAAAATGAGTAAATAGTTTAATTAAAATTAAAAAAAAAATTATGAATTATAAAATTTAAAATGTGATTAAAGTATATAATTATATTTCTAAAAAATAAAATGACAAATTATGTAAAATAAATAAAAATAGGAATAGTTGACAAATTAAATGGGACCGAATAAATATTATTTTAGACAAATTTTTCTCTTGAATGTATTTCCTCACATGTATAGAAGGACAACTTGTTAAATGAATATTTCAAGTTGGATTGGTGATATTGGTTCATTAACTATTTTGACTCTTATTTGTTCAAATAATGCTTAATTTACTCAGTATTATTAATATACCTATATTGTTGTCTCTTAAAGGTAAAAGAATTTATTCTTATTTTTTTAATTTATCTTGTTTTACCATACATACTTATTTTATTTTATTTTTATAACGTAGAAATCCGCAGTCACTATTCGAAAATGCGCACTGGGTAGACTCCTGGTCGAACCTAATACTTATTTTTGGTACTATTGGTGTTATGTTTAGCAATTATCAAAATATATTGATCAATTATACTTGCTGAGTATGTGTGTGTTTGAAGGATTTTTGTGAATTTATATTATTTACACAAATTTTTTTCACAAAAAATATCAAATCAAACATCTATTTTCATTTTTTATAACAATTTTATATTTAAAACATCGCATCATTACATATTTATATCACATCAGATATTTATTCAAATTCAAATGTTTTACTATTCAAATCATAATAAAAAATTCAAACCTCAAATCAAACACACCTATAGTTGTTTAGGGATTTGAATTTTGGTTTGAGATTTGAATAATAAAAAATTTGAATTTAAATAATTATGATTTGCTTTGTTTAATCTAATTTCCAGGTGATTAGATTCGGTCGAAATTTACTCAGAACGCACTCATCGAAAAACGGCCGCAAATTTCCACACTATAAGAAATATCTAATATATATTTTTACGCTG